GGTACTTTGGAAAATTCACAAGTGCCAGATAAATCATATTTGCAATTCTTGTTCGTGGAAGTAACACACTCTCTATCTAATAGTTTAGGACCAACGATGCAACGATTTAATTTATTCAAAGGTATTTGGTGCATTCTTTAGTGTGCAGGGGTAAATCTTGCAATCTTTGAAGACTTCGAGGGTAAACAGTGCACTTTACTCGTAATATGATATATTGAAAGTACATTTTAAAATCTAATATCTATAAATTAAAATAAAAAATATAAATTTATATATATAGGGACTAATAACTAGCTAGATTTATATGGAATTCACAGAAAAAAGTGCATCCTATTTGTAGATCTCTTCAAACAATTCTGGGCTATCATCTTTCTAGCTAAATACTCCAATGAAAACTGCCAATTCAAAAACCCTATCTCTTATCCCACAGTTCTTCTAGCTCCCCCAGGCCATATATATCTTTGACTAACAAATAAAACACACATTAATTATTCTCACTATATTATTATTCCATTTCTAGATCTCATCTTAGATTTCTTTCTTCACACCCTTTTAGCAAAAACAAAACAAAAAAACCCTTACTTTAATTTCTTTTAAACTTATTTTAATCAATTTTTTTTTAAAAAAAAATTGTTGGATGATCAAACCTCGTGCTTAGCATCCCACAATCTTTTTCCAGTCAGCTTGTGGTACTGATCCAGAATCTCCACAACCCTACATACATATATAAATCATTCATAAAAAAAATACCCAAAAAAAAAAGAAAATATTATTTCATCTTCAAGAAATATAATTAAAAAGAGCATAAATAAATAAATAAATAAATAAATAAAATTACGGGGAGCTGGAGAACTCATGCATCTTGCCGGAGTTGCCGAAGATGACGACTGAAACACGGGCGTCGCAGAGGACACTGATCTCTTTGGCTTTTTTTAACATCCCATTTCTCCTCTTGGAGAAAGTCACCTGCCTGTTGCTTGAGTTCTCTATCCTCTTTATCTCTATCCTCCCCCTCCCCATCTCTCTTATTTTATTTTCTTTTTTTTTACTTCTATTTAATTAAATTAATTCTCTGGTATATATATCATTTTCTTCTTCTTCTTCTTCCTTTTTTAAGTTTCTTGGAATGGTTAAATAATGGTAGTGATGAGAGGGGTATATATATAATAATGTGTATACAGGGAGGGAGCTATAGATGAGAGAGGAGAGGAGAGGGGGGAATGGAATAGGGTTTGTTTGGTTAGTTGGAAAAGAAGCAAATGAGTTGAAAGGCATATACTCCCTTATTACCTAGCTGTGACCCCCAAGCAAGTAAATATCAACTACATTGTTGATCGAAAATGAACGGGGATGGATACACTGGGACGAATGTAATATTGAATTTGAAAAAAGAGAAATTTACTTATATAGGACTAAAACATAATGACTTTCCCAATATAGGACCATATGTTTTTATTTCCCAATGTAGGACTTTTGGTCATTATGAGTTAGTTGTTATTCAAGTAAATGTCCATCATTTCTATACATTATTCTTCTCACTAGTCATTATTAAGTCATATTTAGAGAATAAAACAATTTAAGTCCTGCATTGGGAAATGACATATGTTTTAGTCCTATTTAGTGCATATTTCACTTTAAAAAAAATTACTCTCTGCTTCTTAAAGTTTTCTTCCCGATTACGATTCATCGATCACATAGTTAAACTTTAATTACTTTCTTTACTTATTTACAGGATGCCACTTCTTATTTTGTAGAACGTTAAATGTTATTTTTTAATGTATTTTTTATTTAAAAATTTTACACTAACAATCAAATTTAATTGAATCGAAAATAACATTAGACCGACCCCGTAAACTGAAACGGAAAGAATATTTTAGGACGGAGAAATAATGCGAGGACTCACATATATTCATTACTTTCAAGGCAAATAAATAGTGAAAAGTGTTTTTTGAAACATTCAACAATGAAAAATGAAAAGTATTTTTTTTTATTTGGGGGGAGGGATTGAATGGGAAGTATAAATATTAGGTAGAGTAGAACAAATGGATTTCTAAAAAGGGTACTGGGGACAGGAAACTTTTATGGGTTTCAGCTAAGGATGTTCATTTCTAGGGTTTTGATTGAGACTATTCTTTACATGACATTGCACCAGTATCAGATCTCATCTCCATCCATCACTGCAGCTGGCTTAATTTAATTATTAGATTCTTTTAGATTAATAATTAACTACTCGTACTAATTGTAGATTATCTTTCTTCCCAGAACCCTTTTTTTCTTCGTTCTTGAAATTCAGTATTAATCATTATGGGGTTCATATTCTCTTCTTCTTTTTTTCGATTATTAATTACTACGAACCCTAGTTGTAGAAATGAACTGCTGTCTTTGATTTTTTTTGGGTGTGCAAGAGTTGATTCTAAGTTTCTCGAACCTATAGTTAAGACTTGTTTAGAAATGACGTTAGAGATTAGCGATAACATTTTGGATAAAATTTTAACGGTGCAAATTACTTTGAAAACGCTAATGCTAAACGCTGCCCGTCGATAGCCTTTTTAAAACACTAACGCTAATCACTAACGCTTTTCTCAAATATGCACTTAATTAGTTCACTCGTTGTAAAGGAGTGTTTATTTGACAAAAGATTCTACGTCTCCATAGTCAATGGGTAAAAGTGTGCATTTATAAAGTAATTTTTTTTTGCCTTTTTACCCTCAAATTTTTGATAAGATGATGTATTCTTGTTCCACAAACTCTTTTTTTGTATCTCAAAGTTTTCCTTTTCTTATTAAAAAAATCACTTTTGTCAATATTAATTACTCCCTCCGTCTCATAAAGATGGGTACATTTTGACTAAAGTAGAAATTAAGGGAGAGATAATTTTGTGTTGATTTTCCAAAAATACCCTTGATCTGATGGGTAAAAGTATGATGTGATGTATAGATTATTAGGAAAAAGGTATGATGTGATAGGTAGGGTTTGAAAAAGTAAGGGGTAAAAGTGGTTTTTTTAATAGAAATGAGTAATGGATTGTTGGACGCAATTTTTTTTGAAACGTGTAAATCTTTTTGGGACGGAGGGAGTGTTACATTATCTATCAAATAATAACTATTATTAATAATCTACTGATCACATTCTACTTTTACGCATCACATCAAAAGTATACGTAATTTTGTAAAGTCATCACCAAAATATCTCTTCCGTAAATTTCTTAAGAATCAAAACAAAATTACTCCGTACGTTTTCTCCCTGAACTTTTAAAAGTACACATTAGTCCATATACACTTTTTATAAAAGTATGTAATTCTCGAATTCCTCATAACGTGTATATTTTCTTCCGAACTTTCAAAATCTTCTACTTTTTAAAAATCTTTTTATCATATGTCCATAAATTTTTATAAAGTGCGTGCTTTTATCCCAAATTTTAAAAGTACACAATTATTCTACTCGTATTAGTCCTATATTTTTAAAGATGAGGCATAGTTGAAAATGTGACAATTTATCTTGGTTGGACAGTGTTTTTAACCAAAAATTGGAGGATATAATTGCTACCTGTATGCTTGCCAAAGTCTTCTCACGCCTCAGTTGACATGAATGTTAGTTTTTACTTAGAGAAATGTACCTAAATAAAACTAAAACATAACGATTTTCCCAATATAGGACCATATGTTTTTATTTCCGAATGTAAGACTTTTGGTCATTAACAAGTAGTCATTATTCAAGTAAATGTCTAGCATTACTGGACATTATTCCTCCACGAGGTCATTATTAAGTCCTATTTATGGAATAAAAAAGTTTAAGTCATACATTAGGAAAGTCATTATGTTTTAGCCCTATTTAGTGCAAATTTCACTTTTACTTAAAGAAGAAACATTGATGAGTTTGTTTTTTTTCCTTTGGTTAAAAATGCATCTCAACAAAGATAAATTCTTAAAATCCTAATATAATGTGACAATTTCCACTAATGTTTATCATTTATTGCGAAAAGGAACAACAAGTTCATCAATGGCATTTTAATTTGCGGTTGTGTCAATTGATCAGGCGTGAGAAGAAGATTTTGACTAGCAAATAGTTATTTGTTATATCCTCCAAGTTATAGATTATATTTTTCTTATTCAAGTTTGGTTATAGTCTTATAGACTTTGTTCAATGAATTCTTAAGTTGTCAACCATGCACCATTTTTAAAAATATAGGACAAATGATGCACTTTTAAAAGTTCGAAGAGAAAGGACACGTTTTATAAAAAAATATAAAAACGAATGGTGCACTTTTAACATTTTGAAGTAAGGAAAAAACATGCACTTTATAAAGAGTTTGAAGGTAAAGGAGACACAAATATGGAGTAGAGACTAATGGTGCAGTAATGAATGTTTGGTGAGATGAATATATACTTTATGAAAAGTACAAGTAATGGTAAACTTTTGAAATTCAAGTGTAAATGATGCAAAAAACTTGATGTTAAGAGTGAATTTTTAAAATAGTCCTTTCCAATAAGGTATTTTTCTAAATTATTTCTTAATAAGCAATGATTACCAACATGGTCATTTGTAATTGAGATGAATTTCCTAAATAATCTTCTATCGAAAATCTCTATTAAATGTCAGTCAAATAGAAGGTATTTTAGTATTTTCATTGATTATTTGATAAAATAAAATACTTTTGCCATCTTTTGTTCCATAGAACTTTTGAAGTATTTTTAAAATATTTAGATATTGTTTTTTAATTATATATCAATTTTAATAAAATCAATTGAAAAATCTAAAATTTCACATTAATTTAAGTAATGTGGTATTCAATATTTTAGGGATGGATGGAGTATTTATTTAACCATCCTAAGATCGATTTGTGGTCAAGTCATTGACCAAAGGCCCATTGGGTAACCCGATTGGTCTACGCAGACCCAAATGCTTCTTGCGAAACTTTGATCCAGCAACCAGCACCCATTTTCATGGCTGCCGATGAACGTTCTGGAGAAGAAGACGAAAATTCCAAGCGAAAGAGGTTTGTATAAAGCCTGAATAGGAAACCGCTAAGATTTCACGGCTCTCTGACTCCAAATTTAATGTATTACCAATGGCCCTTTCTCTGAGAAAGCTTCGGCAGCCGCTCAAAGCTCTACGTATCTGTTTCTCGCAAGCTGACGGCGGTTATAAACTTCTCGCCGTCGTCTCCGGTGAACCTGCCGGTGTAGGAAGACGTGGATCTAACGCACTGGATGTCCGGCTTCTTAATCGCCTGATTCATGCCGGTAATCGCAGTTGTCTCTATTACAATCGTTACGAAGTTTCGTTTGTTAGTGGAAGTGCTTTAGAATTGTATAATTCCTTCAATTTTCATGCGAAAGGGAGAATTGGGGACTTGAATTGCAGGGGATTTTGCAGTAGTGTAGATTCTGAAACTGAGTCTGACAGTTGTGATGAGGATGGAGGAGAAGGGGAGAACCGAGGAATAGAATCGAAAGCGGAGTCAGGGGAGGTGGATAGGGTTTGTAAGGTGATCGATGAATTGTTCGCTCTGGACCGAAACATGGAGGCGGTTTTGGATGAATGCGGGATCAATTTGACCAGTGATTTGGTGGTGGATGTGCTGGAGAGGTTCAAGCATGCCAGAAAACCTGCATTTCGGTTCTTCTGCTGGGCTGCACAGAGGCCGGGATATGCTCATGATTCAAAAACATACAATTCTATGATGTCAATACTTGGGAAAACTAGGCAGTTTGAGACTATGGTTTCGGTCCTTGAAGAAATGGGCGAGAAGGGCTTACTTACTATCGAAACCTTTGCGATTGCAATGAGGGCTTTTTCTGCTGCAAAAGAGAGGAAGAAAGCCATTGGGGTTTTTGAACTGATGAAGAAGTACAAGTTCAAAGCGGGAGTGGAGACCATCAATTGCTTGCTCGATGCATTGGGAAGGGCAAAGCTTGGTAAGGAAGCCCAAGTTTTGTTTGAGAAATTGGAGCCTAGGTTTGAGCCAAACTTGCAAACGTACACCGTTTTGCTCAATGGTTGGTGCAAGGTTAAGAACTTGTTGGAGGCAGGGAAGACGTGGAATGAGATGATCGACAAGGGTTTCAAGCCAGATTTAGTCGCACATAGTATAATGCTAGAAGGGTTATTGAGGGGCAACAAACAGTCTGATGCAATCAAACTCTTTGAGGTCATGAAAGCAAAGGGCCCTCCTCCTAACGCAAAAACCTACACGGTTTTGATAAGATACTTGTGCAAACACAAGAAGATGGGCGAGGCGATCACTTTCTTTGATGAAATGCTAGGTAGGGGATGTAAGCCCGACGTTGCAATTTATACGTGTTTGATCACAGGGTATGGCAATCTAAAGAGGATGGACAAAGTCTATGGGCTGTTGAATGAGATGAGGGAGAAAGGGTGCGTGCAAGATGCACAACTATATAACGCGTTGATCAAATTGATGACTAACCGGCGAATGCCACATGATGCGGTGAGAGTATACAAGAAGATGGTCCAAAACGGGCTTCAACCTACCATCCACACATATAACATGTTGATGAAGTGTTTCTTTATGACAAAGAATCACGACCTTGGATTTGCAGTCTGGGAGGAAATGAGGTCGAATGGATGTTGTCCTGATGAGAACACTTATACGATCTTCATTGGTGGGCTTATAAGGGAGGGACGGTCAGCCGAGGCTTGTAAATACTTGGAGGAAATGATAGGGAAAGGAATGAGAGCTCCACAACTTGACTACAATAAATTCGTGGCCGATTTTAGCCGGGCTGGTAATCCGGATATATTAATGGAGTTGTCTCAGCGTATGAAAGTCCATGGCAAGTTTGAGATCTCAGACCTCTTTTCAAGATGGGCTGAGATGATGAAGACAAGTGTAAAGAGAAGAAACCCAGTTCTTTAACAAAATGCCATAATGTGTTTTTGGGTGCATCAATACTCAAAGAGTAAATAATCTTTCTTCTTCTTCTTGAGCTTCCACCCATGATTTGAAAATCTTACTTCAGGTTGTGGTGTTCACCATTTAATTTAAAATCAAGGGTTTGTTTGGATAGAGCATTTTGATGGGAATGTTTTGAACGGGGATGTATATCTATATCTCCCGCGCGGGACAAAAGGATTACGCTTGCGTGAGTTACCATTTTTCCCTCAAATTTCTGCTCAAGAAAGGTTCCTGTTGTGATCTCGAAAGTAATTGTTGACACCATTGAAGCCAGATATAACTCAGGGTATGATTATTAAGTTATACTCCGTAGTTTTAGTTCGACGTGAAATATTTGTTTGGGTACCCTTACACTGATCAGAGATGAGCACAAGGACAGGTCTAGTTGGATAACCATTTTTTTCTATTTGATACTGTGGTGTTCTTTATAGCTGGTTAACCCAAAGTCCTTCTGAAAACTCTGATCACCATTTTTTTCTTCAGTTCGAGATCATTTTTGTGCTAGCCAGGGGTCATAGTAGCAGTGTAATTGATTTCTTGCAGGTTTTTGCCGGAATGGGTGTGGCCAACATTTGTGGTAACTGGCAAGTGTTCATATAATTTACCCCTTTGGCAACAATTTCAGATAGGAAAAGAAAGTATAGGGGATTGAAAGGAAACGAAAAGGTATACTTGGAAAACATTAAGTTTCTATTTAGGGTCTATATGGAAATAGTGTTAGAGATTAGCATTAATATTTTGGATAAAAATTTAACGGTACAGATTATTTTGAAAATGCTAATGCTAAACACTGTCCGTAGATAACCTTTTCAAAATGTCAACGCTAATCTTTAATGCTATTCTCAAACAGGCTCTTAATTTCCTTGGAAATTGTTACAGTACATGGCTAGGTATAAGTTATAACACACCTAATATGGTCCAAAAGTCTTAGAACATTGAAGGAAGGATTGCTTGGCTTTATAGCCTCTGCTTGTAATATTTTTTTATATTGTGGTGAATAAAAATGTGTGCTTCCGGTTAAAAAAAATGTTCAAATGTTATACCTTGAGTAGCGGTGAGCATGATATGGTATGAGACGGTATTTAGTTCGTCCCGTTATCATGCAGAATACTCGTATTTCGGTTCGGTATATGATTTTATGCATCCTGGTCCCAAAATTAGGATAAATAAATATGTATCCAATTTACATTTGAGAAAAGTGTACCGTTTATCCCAAATTCTTTGAAAATTATATGGTTTAACCCTGAACGTTAAAATGTGCACTGTTTACCCTCGAACTTTCCAAAAATTGCAAGATTTACTCCTGAACATAAAAAAGTGCATCAAATACTCTTGAACAATTTAAAACGTTATACAGTTGGTCCAAAATATGCTAGATAGAGAGCACATTGCTCCCACTCACGGGAATTGCAAGTATGATTTATCTAGCCCTTGCAAATTTTTCAAAGTACCATTCTTCAAAATTATCATCTTTATTTAAATTTTTAGGGTAAATGTGCAATTCCCAAAGAGTTCAGGGGTACTTGGTGCACTTTTTTATATTTAGGGGTAAACTGTACAATTTTTGAAAAAATCGGGGATAAACAGTGCAGTTTTTTCATTTATATTTTTCTTGTATCAGTTTCGGTACAAATCGAAATGAATACATACATATCAACTTTATATTTTAAAAAAATGTAACAAAATCCTTTTATTGATTTTAAAATAAAAAATGCATTTAAATAAAAAAACATAAGATACCAAATTTCAAATAATTAAAATGGAAGAAATACTTTTGAAATTTAGTCTATATTTTCAAAAATTAAAGAGAACGAATATTCTCTTGGAAACATTCTCTCCACTCTCATGTAGGAGTAATGCTTATGTACACACATTTTTTCCCAAATCTTATATTTTATTGGATTATTTTGATTTAAATTAGAGAGAATGAATAAAAACAAAACAATGTTTCAAATGCTTCTTAATGTTTATAAACGTATCTATAGAAAAGAAAATTAATATTTTTAAACAAAAAATACAATTAAGATATAATAATCGGATAAACCTTAAATTTTACTCCATCTGTCTCAAATAATTTGCTCACTTTGATTTTAGGATTTTCATAAAAAAAATTAAAACGATGTTGAATACTAAAAACCAAGTGATTAAAAGTTATTTATTTTTGCTACAAGGTTAAATTTATTTTAGAAATACGTTTCCATCCCAATTTAATTTAGATGTCAGTGCCACATCAAAAAAAAGAAATATTATAATTTACATATAAATATTAAATAAACCTACAATTTGTAGGTTCAATAAATTGAATTTGAATGCACTAATTTTGTAAGGTAGACAGCTTAAATATGTTTTTAAAAAATAAATATTTTTATCAATAATTTTTTTTCCAGATTTTATCTTCATTTACAGATTGAAATGTAATTAGCAATTTAAAAAAATAAACTTTAGCGAGTGTATATTGTACTCTGTAATTGTTAGATGTGCATATACTTGTATACTCCGTAATATATACTCCGGGGTACATGCTCAAGGTAGGTATTAACATAAATAAATGTGAATTTTACAATAATTTTATTGTCAAATTTTCATTTTTAATCTCATCAAAATGAAAAAAAATGGCAACAAAATGAACACAGTATAAATTATAAAAGAATGTATGCATATATCAATTTCAAAATGTTCCCATTCTAATTTCTAAATATATACAAAGAAATAAATAAATATGAATATCTCAAATGTTCGATAAACACCATACGTCCGGTTATACAGAGTACAAAAGAATTACTCCACACAAAAAAAGTGATGAGAGGGCAAACACCGAAACCTTAAACAAAACAAAACATGGGTTAAAAAAACCAAGTCTAGGAACTTAAGTGCCAAAGTTTACTTTGAGGGTACCCTCAACTTTGGAAAAACATATAGAGAAGTGCCAAAATTTACATGCCAACTTTATCATACAATGGTAAACTGAACTTAGGAAAGGAAACATATGTAGGCTAGGCATTCATTTAGTATTCATTCTCAGCCAAGATACATTGTTCCCACCAATCTTCACTTCTAGCATCAATGCCACAATAATACACCACATCTAGCAACTACTCTCTATGAATGATACCTACATGTTGAGTATATAATATGGGAAGTGATAGATGAAGTGTGTAGCAAATAGCCAACCATTTGAGAAAACAATACACTTCTGCTACTAACCAACAAGATGACCCTCCATTTTTGACCATTCACTTTGTTGGTGAGTATTACAAGAGAGTCCTGGGTATCAAGATTCTCTTGTCCTTATCGAACACATGCCGGCTTACAAACTGCACCTTGGCTTCTAGTACAAACTACGCAAAATCCATTCAAACATAAAATCAACTTCAAGGGTGGAAAAAAAAAACAAAGCAATGCCCGCACAACGATTTCAAAAACAGGAAATGAGAACATAACTTTGGAACGTCCCAAATAGGAAAGTGCAAACTTAACTCAGGGATCGGGGGGGGGGGGGGAATAAATTATCATTNAATGACACTTAACTCACATATTGAGAAAAGTAGATTTGTGTTGGTAATATTGAAATTAAATAGTAAGAAGAAAAACAGAATGAATGTGAGCCACACAAATGCCACCAAATATGGTATGAGACAAAAGGGATTCACAAAAAAAATGTAAAATGAGAGGAGTATAGTGGGATCAAGGAAGAGGACTGTTTTATCAATTTGACCATAGTTATAACTAAAGCATTGTCTAAACTAAGATTACACACCTTTTTCAGCTTTTATCATTTGATGTTGCTAAGTTTCTGATGATCATTTGGATTCTGAGTGAAACTGCTCCCTTTGGAATTAAAGCATGGAGTGAGGGGTGGGAATGATGGGACAGATCCTAACTTATATTTCCGGCCAGCTTTCAAGCGCCGGGCTGATGAACTACAATCAGAATCCTTCTGGTTACCATGAGGGGGAGAAACCCGCTTCTTGTTTGGGGAGCTTACTTTCACCCTGTTGGATGGAGTAGAAGAATCCTTAAGTATGTCCGGTGTGTCGTCAGAGTTGACTGAGTCAACAAGTCCTTTTTTCCTGTAATTAATCAGAGGGGTAATTGGAGAACTATTCCAACTGAAAGAACCTGTGGATGACAAATGGCGAATTCCAGTATACACGTGTTCCCTAGCCCGAATAACGGCTGCTACTGTATCACCTTGTGAGGATCCATCTACTACTAATGCATTGCCATTTTCTATCTCTTCATCAAAAGAGACTAGATCTAAAATATCAGTAGTTTCATGGATCAACTCATGCTTATCAGAGCTTGTGATGAATCTCTTAGATATTTCAACGCGTGATAACATAGCGTGGTCTGATTGTGGTGACTCAGATGGAAACAAAGACTTTGATTCATCATTCCGGTGGCTAATAAAGCAGACCAAACATATAAAAAATATTAGAGTAGTGCTTATATCAATTGCAAACAGAAAAATTATAAGAGTGAGACTTACTCTGAGCACTGAAGTGATGGTGTCATCGGAGTCATATTGTGTGGATGGCTAAGTTCAGTGTGTTCATGTGTGCCCCTACATGATACTAGTTCTAACTTTTCATTAGATGAGCCATGAACTCTGCCACTTATTACAAGCGTCTTCACCAGGCCCTTAAAGCTATCATAATCTGCAAAAAGATTAAGAACCAATAAAGATTAAGAAGATTCATAATACGTCTAAAATAAGAAGCGATCTCACATAGATCCAAGAAATCAAGCAGTTTTTAACCGCTCAGAAAACAACCACGAAACAATCATAAGTTCTCATATACCTGAATGACTAAATAAGCCATGAAATTTACTATAGGTTCCATGATATTGCGGGAAAAAAAAGAGTGACACTACTCACATACTCTATCTGCATATCAAAAAGGGACACGCTTCCTATTTTGTGAAGTCTCATAAAATACTCTGCTATGAAATACTTGTCACTGTTTGATGTATCGTGTATTAATTGTTGTGATCAGTTTTAGACATGCATGCTCCTATTGTCAACATCTAAAAATTCTTAGTGAGAGGTATTGAAGTAGATTCAGTTGACTGTACCTTCCTTCTGTCCATATGTGTTCATACATCCTTCACAACGACATGCACTAGAGCATCCAACATTAGCCTTTTAAGATGGAGCAAAAAAATGTGACTTATTAGATGATGAATTTAAAGTGTCCAATAGGGTAATGGTTAACAGACAGAGCAGTGAATCAACAACTTATACCTGATACATCATAGGGTTTAGCAAATGAGTTTAGAAATAAAGGCTGCACATCTAAGACAAAAATATAGGCTGTTTATTATTTCAAGAAACAATACCTGGTAGCAGTCACAATACTTTTTCATGCACATTGATCTCTTGCAATTGCAACCCTTTTTGTGCCTTGCAGATGCTGGAGTGACACTGACGCCATTATCCTGCAATAAGTTTGATGATATTTAATAGTCATGACATGATGACACACCATTGCAAAATGATATTATTAAATAATGGTAATATAATGAATCCATGAATGGCCCAATACTTGAAGGACGTTAGAATGAGAATCTGCAGTGTTCTGTACGACTTTTGGGGCAAAGGCAAGTGGATTTTTGGCTTCGATTTGTTGCCGAGTATCCATGACTGTATCTTCATATTCAGGTTTATTGAAGCACCCTTGGCAAGCGCAAAGATCAGCACAATAGATTCCAGCAGCAAAGCAATCGCAGTAACTGGATGGAAATGAGATTCAAAGGTAACAAGTTGTAGCAATACAACCTCATACTCAAGTAGGCAAACAAATTATACTTACAGTTTCAAGCATTTACTCTTTTTACAATTGCATCGTTTGCAGCCATCATCGTCACTGGCATCTGATGTTTTTTTCCTGAATAGAGCATCAACTTTGGATCAGATAATGAAAAATGAGTGATAAATAAAGAAACTTGCAAAAACCACAAATACCCTTGCCTTTTCTTTTTGAGAGTTGATTGATTAGATGTTGAAGTTCCATCAACATTTTCAGAACTAGATGTCCTTTTATGATCAGGAATTGACCGACATTCCAATAGCTTCAATGGCACAACGTTATCCATAGGTTTCACATTATGCAGGGCTAAATGTGCAGAACTTTCTTCCTGCAAGGTGCTCTCTTCAATGCTTTCCAGTATGCCTTCCCCAACTTTTGATGAAATCGACCCTTCCATAAAATTGTCAATAACACGATACTTTATCCTACCCATTGTTTTACTCCCTTCACCACTGCAGTTTCTCATCTCTGCAGACTTCATGCTTATTGTGGAACCTCTGGCACCGCAACCCCCTGGCACAGTATTCACAATGCTATTTAAGTGTAATCCTATGCCCGAAGGCTTGGGGGGTTTCAAGGTAGAATTTTCAGCATTTTGAGAGTCATGCAACTGACTGCAGCCTTGGGTTTGTGTATTTAATGAAATTGGCTCTAGAGCTTCCGAAGCAATAGGACTAGCAACAGAGTTTAAGCAGTCAACACTCTCTGGCAAACTACAAGGATCTGAAATTTTTACTGTTTTCTGTGGTAAATTGTCAAATTGTAGACAGCGCCTGAAAATGCCACGTTGATGTTCACCAGCCTACATTAATTGTTCAACTATTCTAGTGAAAACCCATGACAGAAAGATGAGACAATCCAAGAAAAAGAGAACAGCAGAGTATTTAATTAGAAAAATAAAATAGAATTAAACAAAATTAACACCACAAAGAAAAAGGGATGCTTTCATATAAAATATATATCATGCAAACTATTAAATTCTCTCTGTTATTTGTTGAGACATTTGCCAATACGAATCCGGTACAAGAAAGCAACTGGAGTTAATGAAGTTCAAGGACGTTTTAGAGCAAACTTTAAGAATTGATATCATATTATCATAAATACAAGGATATGAGGTCATACTAAAGACACGTGTTAAATTAGTGTTTTAGCGTTCATCTGTAAATACATTTCCTCTTTAGATGGATGAATAATTGCTTTCAAAAGGTCAATGTTCATGAGAAAATACATTGTGTTCATAAAAATTGCATATAAATTGAAAGCATAAACTGGCACATGGCATAGAGTAATAAATAAGATGTCTGCACATCTAAGTGATTTTCAATAGATCATTCTAGTGTTCTAGAATAAGTTAAATTATAGAATAATGTAAGTTGTTCTGAACTAGCTTAGTCCAGGATAAACAGGCATGCTAACTAAAGTTTTTGATGTCTGGTAAAACATGCACAGCTTAGGAATTTACTTGTGAGTTAATCAGCTCCCAATTATGCCTAGCCTATTTGAATGCGTATTTTGAACTTGATAACATTAACATGACAACTAAATGACCTGAAACATTATCAATATAATTTATAAAGATGTGATGACAAAGAAATACTTACCTCAATCATTATACGGTGAGCATATTGGCTATCAAGAGCAATTTCAGCAGATGAATCAGGTTGCACCTTTAAATATTGATCATATTCAACATTTTCATCGCTCGTATTCACATCAGTTTCAAAAGTCTTGTTAATATCAATTGATGTCTTTCCTTTATGACCCTCTTCAACTTTCTCTACACCCATTGCAATCCCATTTTCTATTTTACTTTCACCATCAATACGATTAACAGATTCATGTGAACCTATATAATCATCAGCATGTGGAGGACTATTATTTCTTGAATCAGCAGACCCCATTTTAGCAGCATCAACCAAGAAATCATCAACACATATAGGCTGACTTTCGGGCTGTTCCTGCACATAGGTGTTGATATCAAACGCTTTGTCAGTGCAAGGTACCGATCCACTGAGTAACCGAGAATTTGATGATCCGGCTTCATCAGTCAATGCAGAAATATCGTTCTGATTGCCATCCTTTAAGGAAAACTCTTCGTTGGACAGTTGAGGGAACCGAGTCCTAACAAGTATGAGATATTATGAGTTATAATACAACTAGTTGTTCAGTTGTTTATTTTTTTAGCTACTACCAAACTTTTGATGCTATAATGCCTTGAGCTTTTCATTGACTGCCTCCTTTATCTCACGTGCTTTTACAAAATTCACATTTTTCAGTCATTCTACTAGAATTTGCATATTCATACCCTAATTTCTAAATCTTGATTCTTTGGGGTCCATGGTATTTTGACAATACTACTTGCGACTAATGTCATCAAGCTAAAGTATGTAGAGAGATAGTGGATGTTATATTAGCAATACATTTGGCGGCATGAGTTTGAAGTTTGCTTGAGCATCCACGTTGAACAAGTCACAGTGGTTGGTGCACATGTAAGACTCTGATTGAATTCATTCTTTTTTTTTAATTTTTACATGTGGAATCCTACATGTGAAGTCATTAACCTTTCCAGAAAGCTTGACCGTATGCGTGGATTGATTCGAGGTGATGTAAACACAAGAGGCGGTGAATTGATCCCCGGGAAACCTTGTACAGCTATTGATGTCTTCACAGGTCCTATAGGAGAAAGATTGTTGATGTAGTTAAAGACGGGTGATTCCTGAAACAAGAGGAACAAGTCAGACAACACGAACATTCCATTTCCTGATCATATCCTTCAAACAGAAAAAGAAGACAAACTAAAACAAATCAAACTTCATAGTATCAAAATATCTTTTCAGATAACCCAAATTTCTCCAGCACATTCGTGCATCTATACCCAAGTTCAGCAAATCAATTCATAACCGTCTTCCAATCCAACCACACTAAAAAAAATGTAACACATTCGCAGATTCACATGGAAAGAGTGGAGAACCCCAGAATTCCAGAACACATACCACATTGATTAACCCTAACTAAAAAAATCATCTTTTTAAAAAAAATACTCCGTAATACAGTGCACATTACTTCCACAGCCACGCCAGTGGACGAACACGTATGCATCGCAGTTCAAATGAAATAAGAGATGTACTTGGACTGCAGCCGATTCCGGCAATGAAAATGAAGCGGCGGTTGAGCTGGCGGTTGCGGCGGCGGCAGCGGCGGCTTTCGAAGGCTCAGGAGAGTCCATTGGGCGGGGGCGTAACCCTAGTTATAGTTCTGAAGCAATCCTTCTGCATCCGTGTAGTCTCTAACCCTCGTCTTCTCGCTTCTTGATCTCCCTCAGCGGCGTAAACTGGAATGCGAAATGGGATGATGATGTCCCAGTAAAAATGTTTTTTTCCCACAGAAATTATCAGAATTTACCGCAAAAAAAAAAAAAAAACAGTGGTCCGTATTTCATGGTGCCGGTTCCGAACCTTTGCTTCAAATTTCTCATTTTTGCTCTAAAGAAATTAATGAAATATTCCTACAATTTGCACACAAAAAAATTACTCCCACAATTAAAAAATTGTCACCTATTTTAAGAACATTGGTTGTTTTTAACTTTGTAATATCAGAATTAGCATTTCAAAATTATTTTTAAAGTTTCTTTTTATATAGTTCATATGTCAGAATAAAATTTACATTTTTATTTCATATTCATTTATACGAAAATTACATATCTAAAAAATCACACAATAAAATTTTGGGAATGAGGTGTGTAGGCAAACATTAGAGGAGTTTTTTGTATTTATTACTTTATTGCAAATAAACACACTCAACTTACAAGTTATTTATTGAAGTTTTTTTTAAGAAGTCGTTTAGTAATACTCCGTACTTACAAAGGGTTAGAGATAGTTTTATAAAAGTTTTGGTCAAAATAAATAAACAAAAAATATCTTAAAATAAATATGTAATTCCTATTTATTTTTTCTGATTTATAAACAATTATAATTAAGATTATAAGTATAAAAACAATAATATCTTCACTCTGGGTTTGGCACCAGAGGATGTATGAATGGACTAAAGGTCAACGAGCCCTAATGTAACTCCACCTCTACTCGAAATGAGTCAAAATCATCCTGGACAATCTTCACTCTGGGTTTGACACCGACTTACATATCTTTGACTGCAAAATGCATGCAACTGGTATCCATTTGACTTAAGACACATATATAGGATTTACTTCGACACCATAACATACGCTTTCTCAAACAACATATCTAGGTCCTTCTTAGTCATACAATCATCCATTAAAATCTGCCGTAAGAGGTGAATGATTTTCGTACACGTTCAGCTTTGCATGCAACCAAACCGTTTTTAGAAGAACACATTTTTTTGGAACATATAGCCTCAATCATATGGTCCAAACCTTTATTTATAAGAGAAATGTCAAATTTATTAACAGTTGTTTAAATAATTTAAGACAATAATATAAAGTTATGCCAAGTTACAAAGTGATTTTCTTTAGATCAAATTAAAAATGAGAGAGCTATTAATTTATTTTGAAATAGAGTAAAAACTAGGATATAATTTAAAGGTTAGTTACCACAAACGCGCCAAAAATGAATTCCACTCCTTTTTAAAAGGTGGTTTTGACTTTACAAATATTAAAAATCAATACAATTTGATAATAATTGATCTTATTGAATAATGAAGAATATATATATATATATATATATATATATATATATATATATATATATATATATATATATATAGGGGCAGGTTCCTGTGAGAATGCACCTTGTGGAGAGAAATGAGAATGAAATCTAGCCGTTGGATCTGATGCATCGTGCGGCTCAGATTGCATCCTGCGCTCAGATTTTGAGATATTGCATTTTGAAAGGATTATGATGCATTTCGACGTGATGCATTTTAAAACCATTTTGTTGCATCTAATTTTGATGCAATCCTGACCCTTAGATCGCACAATCTAAAGCACCAGATTCATTCTCATTTCTCTCATAAGATCGCATTCTCACCAGAACCAATATATATATATATATATATATATATATATATATATATATATATATATATATTAGAAGAGAGAATTATAATGTAAATAGGAGAAAGCTTACAGTCACAATACAATATGAAAATAATATAATAAGGAAAGTATTAAATAATACGGAGTACTTTATTTCTTAATACATATACTATTCTTAATAAAAATACATGTTAAAAAGTTATTGAATAATTTAAAATGAGTGATTAGTATTTATTTAAAAAAGAAACATATTTTGTATTATATTTATTACCCAGTAATTTATAAAAAGGAAGAGAAAAATGAAAAAAAATGTTCTGAACAACTAAAATCGGAAATATAATGGCGAGAGCATTTTGTACAAATTTTATTTGTTTTAAATTTTAAACCCCCTGCACTAAAAAACAATTTTTTTTAAATCCCTTTATTTCAAGTGAAATTTGCACTAAATAGGACTAAAACATAATAACTTTCCTAATCTAGAACTTAAACTTTTTTATTTCTTAAATAGGACTTATTAATGTCTTAATGGAAGGAATAATGTCCAGTAATGATGAACATTTACTTGAATAATGACTAATTCATAATGACCAAAAGTCATTGGGAAATAAAAACATATTGTTTGATAAACTGCTTTAGTCTATTTAATACTCCATCCGTCTCACTGTCTTTGTCCACTTACCTTTTGGCACACCATCCAATGCACTTTTTTAATCCATTTTATCTTGTAATTTGTATATTAAAAAATTATAGAAATTATATATTAATAATCTATATGTTAAGACAAATCAAACAAGATCACACATGACTATTTTTAGGCTTACACATTGAGAGAATGTGATGAATCCAATGTTTATGAACATTCCAAAAGTATATGCCTCGCGCAAGTCACACAGCGGCTCAGTTCCGTTCTTTTTCACCTCCGCGACAGCGCAGCTCAGCCATGGCCGGGATTGTGAAGCCGCCGGGCGCTTTCACGGTGACACCTCACAAGGTCTCCGTTTGTATCCTGGTTAGCTTCTACGCTCCGCCGGAACAAGACACTATTCCTTTCCCTTTCACCTCCGTCTCTCAGCACAACGGCCTCGCTCTGTACCTAATCGCTCTAATCAAGGTATTTAAAATCCTATCACAGTTTCAATCGTTATTGTTATCTTCGCTTTAGTGAGCATTGATCTCGGAAATGGTGATACGTTTCTTCGATTGATTCTGCATCATTTAGTCATGCGAGGACATTTTTGAGCCGAAGCTAGATGAGTTGATTGAGCAGTTGACGGAAATCTCAGGAACATTGCATGAATGGTTGAGTGAGAACTTGAAACAGAGGTTATCATCTATAGATTCCCCGGATGATTTGTTTAACTTCTTTAACGAGTTGCAAGGTGAGGGATGATGTGACATTCACTTAGTGTTTTATGCGCAAATGTTATCTGTTTCCCTACATTAGTGAAGGTTATGCTATTGTTCTGAACAGACATGCTAGGGGGCTCTGATTCTACTGAAATAGATGATGATCAAATCAGTCTGGATCCTAGTAGCAACATTGGAATGTTTGTTCGTCGATGCTTGCTTGCTTTCAATAATTTGTCATTTGAGGTACTACCTTGTCAAAGCATTTCTGTTGATGATTATTGCATGTTTTGTTTTAAATATTTTTTGTATGAGATATAATGTTCACTCTAATGGGAAGATGAAAGGATTTTCTGTTGTCTTTTTATTGTTTGACATGTAGGCTGTCTGTCACCTTGTGTCAAAGATAAAGATGTACGTCAAGGAGTCACTCTCAACAAGTCCCCCATATGATTTTCTGAATTTCGATGACACCGACTGCAGTCCAGAAGAACAAATGGCGTATGAGAAGATGGAACTGGAGAGCATTGACATTGTTTATGAAAATGTCAACGAGAAAATTGAAGTGGAAAGAGTTGTTAACGAACTAGTTCCATTTCATAACCATGCCCCTAAATTAATTGTTGGGTTAGTTGAAGGTAATTTGCCAAATAACTCGAAATTAGCTCTTTTAGCATGCATTTCTATGATAATAACATTAATGATATATTTGAGTGAGTGTGATGGATGGATTTTCTTGTTTGGTACTTGGCTTGTGTGTGATGCGTACAATACATAATTATCTGAAATACTATCTCCTCATACTCACTGGAAACCATAATCATATTTTCATGGTTGAACCCAAGCGTTCATCATGATCAGGGACTACACAATTTGAATTGCATCTTGTCTGGCATCTTCACCTTTTAGTCTGTACAATAGCTTCCTAATTGTTGGTTCATGCATTTAAAATAATTTGGACGATTGTATATTTTAAATTTCACATGCAGACACACAAACAAATATATAAGGATAGAGAGAGAGTGTCTGTGGAAGGTCAAGGTCTGGAGGGCAAAGATTATAGTTCTAGGGCAGTTTTATTTGGGGTTTGCATGGTTGTTTTACATTTACTAGCTCTCTTTTTTTTCTTTCGTTGTTTGTTTCAACCTGTCTTTATATTGTTTGGAATAAACTCTCTACCTTTGTAGGTGGGGGTAAAATCTGTGTACATCCACCCTCTCCAGATCCCACTCGTCGGATGCTACAGGATCGTTATAACATACATATATACATTCATACAAAGTTACAAACACCCACACTCACATTCATTTGTTCTTGTACTCCCTCCGTCCCACAAAGATCTTCACTCTTCAAACAACGTGCAAAATTTAATATTTTTAAAAATTATTTTGTTTACAAATTGGTATAGAAATAAAAGTACAAATTACATATTACAAATAAATAAAAGTTATTGAGATACCACAATAGTGTGACAAGAATATTTTATTTTATCAAATAATCAATGAGAACACACAAATAAATAAAAGTTATTGAGATACCAGAATAGTAACAAAGAAGATCTTTCAGGGATGGAGGGATAATATATGATGTTTCAGAAACTATTTTTATATGTTTGATCCCTACTTCTTTCAATTGAGTAAAACTATAAGATGTTATGCATTGCAGAATTGAGTGATCAATCATCATGCATTGCAGGAAATGACGTTTACCACAGTACAAAGGCTCAACACATTGGTAAATCTGGGGAATTTGAGCCAAGTGGCTCTGCACCTTGTGGTGCATCAAATGACACTAATCATTCAGGTGAAGTGTTCCTACGAACAAATTGGCAAATACAAGGATACCTGATGGAACAAGCTGGTTTAATTGAGAAGTTAATATTTTAGCCTTTAACTTCTTTATTGTTTTGCATTTTAAAAAGCAGATTATAAAAATAAGATAGTCAAACTTTTGAATAATTTTGATAGGCTCGGAAGCCCCTTCGTTTTAGATTCATTTGATTCTATCTTACAACAGCTCCAGAAACTGGCACCTGAGCTGCATCGTGTGAGTTCCTATGAGAATGATATGGTTAATGAGATCTATGCAGTTTTGGATCTTTCTTTATCTTACTATTGTCTTTGTGCTCACTGAAATGAAGGTTCACTTTTTGCGATACTTAAATAGCCTTTATCACGATGACTATCCTACCGTTTTGCAAAACATCAATCGCTATTTCGATTACAGGTATGCATTACTTGGTTTTAAAATTCCCACATGCTCTTTTGCAGTTGTTGATTTGTGGTTTTGCTTTATGTATCAAGTAACGGCTATCAGCAGTACATTCTCTCTCAACTTACCAAATATAAAAATTTTTATGAGTTGCAATCCTGTTTTAGTGCTTGTTAACATAGAATATAAGTTTTCTGGATATTATTGTAATCATGTTTCGGAGTTTTTGATTATGCCATCCATCTTGATGGTTAAAGCTCATACTTTCCCCATTTATTATTCTCAAGTTATCCACTCTCTTTTCCATCTTATTTTATTTTGTTTTACTTAGATATAGCTCTTGGGCTTTGTTACCACTTTGCCTGACAAATCTCAGACATTTTAGTTAGTCTAAGGAAACTGATGCTTTAAGTTTAAGATTGACCACTCTTTGTTGTTGACATCCTGATTAAATAATTTGACATTTCTGCCTTTGCTCACTGTAAATACGTTGAGGACTCATTATTTTCATTCTATGTTGTACATTGTTCTGCATGCCTATGCTCCATTCTACCCTAAGTATTCTACCCAAACAGGAACAATAACAACAATAATAAAGCAAAAGATGTATAGTATATTCCATAGTTTCTTTTCCACCAAAGAACACATATTTACAGTGCAACCATCAATTATTATTATTATTATTATTATTATTATTAATTTATTATTATTTACGGAGTATTATAACATTATATTTTTCATTTGTAGTCATTGGTTGCTCAATATAGGTGGTCTTGATCATTTTGGAGATAACGTTGATAATTCTGAATTGTCTTTACCAAAGTGCAGGGACTGAAGGATGTGACTATGTAGCTCCGCCTTCTTCTGCAGGCGGTAGCTTTGGGAGATTCCAAGTTGCATTGTTATGTTTAGGAATGGCACATTTTCATTTTGGCCACCCACAACAAGCTTTGGAGGTGGACATAAATAATGAACACTCAATTCATTCTTTGCTCATTTATATGGAAGAAATTTGTATAGTACTTTTGTTAAACTTTCCTCTTATTGAATAACAATTTAACAACTCAATTTATTTTTAGGTCTTAAGTGAAGCTGTTCGAGTTTCTCAACTGGTATGCTTTTTGTGCTGCATTTTTCTTTCATTTTGTTTGTCCCATTGGCTATAAATTACTTTGAAATTGTGTTTGTACATGGTTTCTTTAATTTTCAATATTATTCTTTTTAAAACTTTTTGAGGTGTGGAATTGACTTTTGTAAAATTGAAAGTACTCATTTTTCTAAGTAGAGATGATCTTTATGACATGATCAAATGATAGCATAATGAGATGAACTTCATGACATGATAGATTGCATCAAGTAGTCAAAGAAGCCATGTTTTGTTTGTAACTAACCAATAGCTTATATTACCAAGGATCCCCCTCCCGCACACTCTCACCCTCCCTCTATCCGCTCATTCAGCCATCAGGATATTACACAATGCAGTCAGTTCAGATCTCATACTATCTAAGTGTTTTTTTAACTAGTGTCATAACCAGTGTGGTCATTACTTCAATTCCTACTAACAACAAAAACAAACTCAATAAAATCCCAGAAAAAGTAGGGTCTAGGGAGGGTGTGTGTAGGCAGACCTTACCCTACTCGGAAGTAGAGAGGCTGTTTTCTAGATTTTAGTTCCTACCACCACTTTATAACAGTCTAACTATGTTTGGACATGTGACTCAGATTTGTATGCAACTCTAATTAAGACACCAATAGTGTTCAAGTTTGTGAGTGTTCCATAGAGGATGTTGAGTGTTTTGAAGAAAGATGTAGATATAATTTTATAAGTGAACAACAACAAGAACAACTCGATTGGACTCCACAAGTTTGGAGAGGGTGTGTATACGTAGACCTTGCCCCTACTCAAAAGTAGAGAGGATGGTTCTAAGACCTTAGCTCGAGTAACACAGACATCATATTGAGCATTGAAAGCACAAAGCATGTAAAAAGTAGCAAAGAGCAAACTAAGGGTAACGAATGGAAAGAGCAACAAGCATGGAAAGCAAAGAACGAAAAGTGCAAAAGTAGCCATCAAGCCCAAAAGCCTACCCGACTACCTTAGTACTAGCTCTCCTGATGCTCGTATCTAAATTCATATCCTCGGTAAGGACTAGAAGTCTTAGTCCTTGTCTAATCACCTCATTCCAATTCTTCCTAGGTTTACCCCTTCCCCCATTCCCGCCCACCACCATAAGCATCTCACATCTCCACACAGGGGTCTCAACACTCCGCTGCCTCACATGCCCAAATTACGTCAACCTGGCTCCCGTAACTTATTGTCTATAGGTGTTCCTCATACCCATCCGCGGATAACCTTGTTTCTAATCCTATCCAATCTTGTATGTCCATTCACCCATCGCAACATCCGCATCTTTGCAGCATGGATTTGATGAATATGGGTCTTCCTAAATGCCCAACGCTAGCTAGGCCGATTATGAACCCATAGAACTTCCCTTTCATCCTAGATGAAATGTTTTTGACGCATAGAAGTATAGATCCCATGGGCCAACTTCCACTTAGCCCAAGCCGCTCCAATACGGTGCACAACATCCCCGTCAAACTCCCCATCTGCCTAGGCAAAGGCACTGGTTAGGAATCACTCCTAATTTCCACCTTTAATTTCGTCACTTGACCACTGAAGCAACATTTCATGCATTCAACCTTATTATTACCAAGTCTAGAACCTTTTGAATTCAAGTGTTATTGTCTAAAGTTCTAAATATTGTTTTGTGTAACAACCTTAAAGCGTTATATATACTTCAGCTAGAGAGGAGCATTGAATGTTAATTGAGATAGATGGTTTGTTGGTGTTAGTTGTATAGTCTGCACTAAATCCATTTCAGTAGCCGCATTCACGTTTAAAACACACAACCACAATTATTTTGCCTCTTTCAAAATGTGTTTCCTTCTGTACGTGGAAGGGTGTTTTGTGTAAAGTGTGAACACATTGGTTAATAAAAGGTGTATTTATTATTGTGTTGATCTATATTGACACAACACAAGGTTTGATTAAAGGGGGATTGACTGAGTTTATGATTTGCTTCTATTTCTAGTTAATGCCTAAAATGTTTCTAATTTTTTTGCTTATATTTCTGTCATGCCTTAAAATTTTCTAATTCCTTGTGCAGAACAGTGATGATGCATGTCTTGCTTATACATTAACAACTATTTGCAAGCTGTTGTCTAACTATGGTCTTTCAAACACTACTGGTTTTATTGGATCATCATATTCCCCAGTTGCCTATTTAGGCACTTTTATGTCAGTTCAACAGCAGTTATATGTTCTTTTGAAAAGTTCCTTGAAGCGAGCAGAACGTCAAAAGCTGAAACGATTGGTGGCCTCTAATCATCTTGCAATGGCTAAATTCGACCTTACAGTAAGAAGCTTTTCTTTTGATCTGATTGGTTCTGATCTGATTTTTTTAAGGTCTGGCCAGATCTGATTCTAGTTAAATTTAAAGTTGTTTCTGATATGATTCTAGTTAAATTTAAAACTGTTTTTGATCGGTTCTGATTCCAATAAGAATATTTAATTAGAGTAAGTTGAAGAGAACATAGCTTAAGAGCATGGATTTCAGTATGCTCGTATATTAAATTATTAATCTCATGCTTGCTGTATTTTTTATTTTGCTTGGCTTCCTAAAGGTTCCATGGTGACTTTTGTTTTGCAAATGTAATTTAATATAAATTGCCACATGTGATCATAAAATTTGACAAATTGCTTGGCTTGAGATAATCATATGTATACATAAATATGCTTTTGCTGTTAAAATATGAAGATAGTGATCTTAATTTGCAGGATGTGAACATTCTTATATATATTGGCTTATACTTTGCAGCACATTCAAAGACCTTTGCTATTGTTTGGCCCGAAGGCATCCATGAAACTCACATCTTGTCCAATCAATGTCTGCAAGGTTATGTCAGCTCCTGGGTAGTTTAATATTTGTTAATCTTTTCCGGATAATTTTTAACCGATTTATGGTGAATACTGCAGGAGCTGAGGTTAAGTTCTCATCTAATTACCGACTTTGGAGATGAAATGTCAACAATGACCTCAGATGGTGCTTTTTGTACGGCCTGGCTTAATGATTTGAAGAAGCCAAACAGTTGCCATATTTTTCATCAGGAAAATGAGTCGATTAGTAAAGACAGGTTCCATTTCTGTGCACAGCCTAGTTCCATCCCTGGATCAGTGTTGCAACTAGTAGGTTCATCATATTTGGTTCGTGCCACTGCATGGGAGGTCTATGGCAGGTGATATGTGAACCTATTTTATTGTACTTCTCTACCGCAATACCCACATTTTCTTGGTTCTTTTAGAGGTCGGTATATTGTGTATCATTAGCCCTCAGAAAAATGTATATTTCACCCTTTTCCTCAGAAAAATGGGCAGTAGTACATAAGTGCAGTGCTCTCTAATGATTGAAAAAAAAGTCAAATTATGGACCCTAGCACCATAATATCTACTGCATAAGGCATAAGCATGTCATTGCTCTTTGTGAGGAAATTTTGCATATAGTTTGGTGAATTTGTTAATATTATCCTGAATAAGCCTTTTTATCTCACCCTCTTTCTCTTGGCAAATAGTTTCATCAGCATCATCACTTAAACTACTACTTTGTTGGGGTGGTAATATGAAATCTATAGTGTGAGTTCATAGTTTTCAACCTCTGTAAAAAATATAGTGAGACAGGAATGAGTTGAGATAATTGCTACGAAGTGTTAGTTATGCCTGATTATATATTAGGAGCAATCCAGATTTTTCTGGATGTCATTCTCTATGTCTGATATCCAGTCTTAGCTCTTGTACTTTAGACATCTGAAGCTTGCAAAGAACTTCTTGGATAGTTACCATTTACTATATTTTCAGTGCCCCTCTTGCGCGAATAAATTCCCTGGTTTTTGCAGCCTGCTTTTCTGACTCATCCAGGTAAATCTGAGATAAGTCTCCCATAGTTTTCATTGTCCTTGATATGATATTTGACAGAAATTCATTAGAAATCTGCTCTTTTACTTATGCCATTGCAGTTCAGAGGATGTTGGATTGGCATATGCCAAACTGATCCAGCATTTGGCAGTATATAAAGGATACAAAGGTCAGTAGAAAATAGAAATGCCCAAGAAAACTGAACTAGATTCGTATAATCATGTTAGAATGCTTTTTCCAAGTTGAGCTAATGTTTTTATGATAAACATTTATATACATTTCTAATCAAAGTTGTTAAAAGTGCTTGCCTCGCAGCTTAAGCGACGAGGCAAGTGTGAGTGACTTCCACCTGCTTCACAAGCACATACTTGTGAGAGAGCGGCTGTTTTTTTAAATAAATGACTAGTTTGTACTTGGATCTTTTACAGCTTTCCGATCTTTTTCTTTTCCCCCACTGTATTGAGTAGTTTGAAATCCTTTAGATGATATGACTTCTCAAAATAAGAGTCAATGTATTGAAAATATACGTGTCTCAGACTTCACATTAAAAGCATGTACTCCCTCCGTCCCCCAGTTTTTGTCCACTTTTGACTTATGGAACTGTTCATCTAAGCACTTTGACTCATCAAATTCTCTCAATGTGTAAGCCTAAATATAGTCATGTGTGATCTTGTTTGATTTGTCTTAACATATAGATTATTAATATATAATTTTTATAATTTTTTAATATACAAATTACAAGATAAAATAGATTAAAGAAGTGCATTTGATGGTGTGTAAAAATGAAAGTGGACAAAAACTGGGGGACAGAGGGAGTACTTGCTATTTTACATCTTGAATTGCATTTTCCCTACTCCACATTGATTAGTGTGAAAGTTGATGTTTTGCAAAGCACTGTCATTTCTGCATGTTTTCACTTTTAAGAACATGTTTTTTCACTGACACACAAAGATACATTTAAATTTATAATTTTATATCTATGTTCCTAATTTTGTAGAGGCATTTGCTGCACTCAAAATAGCGGAAGAGAAGTTTTTATGCCTTTCAAAGTCAAGAGTCCAGCTTGTAAAGCTGCAGTTACTCCATGAGCATGCTTTGCATCAGTACGGAAAGTTGTTTTTTGGCTTGATGCCTTTACTTAGATACTGTTAAACAATGTGAGTATTGTGGTATGAGATTCGTTCATTCTGACATCAAAGTGGTCCGTGTTTTGCAGGGGGCACCTAAAACTAGCTCAACGACTATGTGATGAGTTAGGCGCTTATGCTTCTTCTGTAGCTGGAGTGGATATGGAGATAAAGGCCGAAGCAAGCTTCCGCCATGCACGGACATTGCTTGCTGCGAATCAGTCTAGCGAGGTCAGCTTTTCCTTTATTACTATATGTGCTTTATTGTGCTTTCCGCAAGTTCTTGTAAGTGACTAGGACCCCAAGGTACTGCTTTAGAGTAAAATTTGGGCACATGAATTCTTAGATTTCTTATTTAAGTAAGTCTCTTTGCTCAATGTTGACTTTAATAGAGTTATATTTTGTTAAGGTCTTTTCTTTTCTTATGCATGGATTGTTTTTTTGATCATGTAATGTATTACAATTCCTGCTCTAATCCTTTTTTTAAAACTATTTATAGTACTTGCTCTGTCCTATTTTATAAGTTTCACTTTCCTTTTTAGTCAACAACTATGACCGTTCTTTTTTAAACACCTCTAATATTCTACATTTCTCAATTTACTTTTTTGCATTTGATATGTGGACCTCTTTGCACAATGATTTATGACTTCTACCAGGGTAAAAGGGATAAAACTGAAAAAATTACTTCATCATATATCAAATGTCCACTTAATGCCCGTGAAAAAAGGAATGAGTCACTTAGAGAATTGGGATCTATAAAATCTAAATGGGATAGAGCCATAGAGGAAGAAATCCCCTTCGTCCTTTTAATGTAAGTCACAAAACTATGAATCTTTCAACCACTACCTTAAAACAACACATTTCCAACTTTGCTTAATATTTTTATTAGACCATTCAAGTTGCATTTATAACAATGGAGGTAGCAGCACTTACCATTTTTTATTAGAAACATTTTTGTTACTGAACTGATGGAATGGAACTGTTTGAATCAAGATCATGTACTGCTGCTGAAAAGAGTCATCATTATCTACTCCCTATGTTTTGCCTTGAGTAATCTAGAACCTACTGAATATATGACAATATATATAGAGTTATAAGTAACAACAATGAACCCTATCTGCGCGGTTAATGTGTACACAACCTTACCCTTGAAAAAAAAGAATGGATGATTCCGTTACACTCTTTGCTGCATTTAGAAAATTATAGTGCTTAAAGCACACGATTGTTTACAACCTTAGAAGTTCTTTAAAAAGTTTAAATTAGAAACCACAGGCCTTTCAAAGTTTTGATAGCTTTGTTGCAGCTCATGGATCCATGCATTGTGTTCGAACTTTAGATACTCAAAATGTCTCAAGTGATCCCTAGTAGCAAACCAAACCAAACCAAACCAAACCAAACAAACCCAGTAGATCCCATTCAATAGTATAGTCTGGAAGGGTGAGATGTATGAAGAACTCACCTCTACTTCAAAGAGCAGAGAGATTGTTTCCGAGGATACGACCCTTTTAAATCTATTCTGTAAAGTATAATCAATGTCATGGTGCTTATACTGCTTAATATGTGCTAATTAGTATTCATCCAATGTACATTGTTCTTGCAGGCAGCAGCTGTTGCACACACTCTTTTTTGCATGTGCTACAAATTCAGTTTGCAGGTTGAGAATGCTACTACACTCCTCTTGCTGGCAGAGATACACAAGGTATTTAGAATTTCAGCTTTTGGCTTGGGATTCTAGTTATTGGGCTAGAAACTTAGAATAATTTAAAAAATCTGACTAGGAATCATATTCAATTATCGGCATAATATGTTTCCCACCATGTATTAGTAAATATGAGTTTTAAGCCTCTGTTTTGTTGTCTTATTACGCTCATTCTGATTGTCATTAGAATTGGCAGAATAAGTAGGCTTGACTTATTTGGGTGAAAGGGATTCTACCAAACACTTATTCCTATAAAAAATTTGGTAGGTTCATCCATTTCATCCAAATAACCCTTACCAAACGGGGTGCAAATGTTTCTGCTATTAAGCTAACTCCCGTTTTTTTTCCTTTTCAGAAATCAGGAAATGCTGTTTTAGGAATTCCATATGCATTAGCGAGCCTTTCCTTTTGCCAGTCTTTTAACTTGGATCTTCTCAAAGCCTCAGCTACACTGACATTGGCCGAGTTATGGCTCTCACTTGGGTCAACTCATGCAAAGAGGGCTTTGAGTCTCCTACACACCTCTTTTCCTATACTTCTCGGTCATGGTGGTCTTGAGCTTCGTGCTAGAGCCTTCATTGTTGAAGCAAAGTGCTATCTAGCAGACTCGAGCTTTTCAGGTATTTTGCATTACTCTCTTCTTCGTGAGAAACCTTAGATAAAAAAAATGTTAAATTGGCTCTAACCCATCCCTATTGGATCGATCCTCTTTTGGGCCCACATACGACACATTCAACTGATCGTATCTTTTCTCAACTTGACTATGATCACATGAAAATTTTTCCACAGTACATGATGAACCAGAGACTGTGCTTCAACCATTAAGGCAAGCTTCTGAAGATTTGGAACGTCTAGAGGTTGTTCAATCAATAATACCTATATTCTTCCACTCTATTTGTTTGGTCAAATAAATTTACCATGGTAACATAGATTTTAACAAAGGCGAGCTTCTTCATATGCAGTACCATGAGTTGGCTGCTGAAACTTTTTACCTGATGGCCGTGATCTATGACAAGTTGGGAAGGATAAATGAGAGGGAAGAAGCTGCATCCATGTTTAAAGAACACATCTTGGCTCTAGAGAAACCTTTGGATGATGAAGATCCTCAGGTCAGTTGATTAGTTATTGTACCATGAAGAAAAAAAGGTGTTAATTAGTTATTGTACCCCCCCCCCCCCAAAAAAAAAAAGAAGGTTCTAAATTGACTAATTTTAGAGTCATGACATTGAAGAGTGTCTTCTGGTGTTGTGATACAATTCAGAAACAAAATGGAGATAAATAGTGAATGTATTTGGGCACTGTTTGGAGGGAAAAAAAGATTTGGAAAATGCTGTGTGAAGGTGGTTTATGCATAGAGTGCTTCTTTGCATATCAATTTTGTGGATCTTTCCATATAAAAGCATCTTTTTTTAGTTTTTTATTTAAGAAAAAAATGTTTATTTAAGTAGTAAAGAAATGTTTATTTTGCTATATGCAGGTCCACCATAGAATTTGCCTTATGGCCTTATGTATTATACAAATGGTTAATAAAGAAAATGTAAGCTGTGTGAAGGTGGTTTATATTTTGTACACTAATAAGTATTTTACAATCTAGTTGAGTCTGAATGAATAAGTGATGTGTAACTTCGACAATATAATTATGTAAAACAAATGATCACGTTAATCATTAAATTTGTTTAGGATAACAATTTGCTACCAAAAATCAACAAAAATGAAAAAGTTTTTGCTTGGTACGGTGTATTTGTTTAGGATATTCCAAAAATTTCCTACTTACTATAATACTCCGTATTGTTTTGGAGAATTGAATATGATCATTTAGTATTCTCTAATCTAAATAAATTATACACCTTTTATTTTTCTTAAATTTTGTAAAACATCAAATGAGAAAGTTTTTATAGGATGAAATACAACGTTCGAATTTCAGAATTTATTATCAAATATTCATCACAAAAGACATCTGCTGAAATTTATTTATTAAAAGAGACAAATAATTTATAAATATTTTTAGTCAAATCATGTGAACATACAAATTTTAAATTTCAATGAAAAATACTACTACGAAACACTAAAGTGCCATAAATAGCGTATTACTTTTCAAAAAAAAAAAATAGCGTGTTATTATTATTACTATTTATATTATTATTATTGTTATTATCATTATTAGTACTTTCCATCCCAAAATGATTTGCATATTTCTAATGATATGAAAAATCTCAATATTTTAAAATTATTTTATTTACAAATTAGTATTGTAATAACAAATACAAATTATATGTTTAAAAATTACATGATTTTTTTTTACAAAATAACATCAGAGATGACAAGAATATTTTATTCTATTAAATAATCAATGAAAAATACAAAAAAATTAATGTTATCGAGTTATTGTAATAGTAATAGTGTAAATCATTTTGGGACGGAAAAAATATTATTTGACTTGTTGAGGTTATTGATTAGATGAACAATTTTTCTCACAAAAATGTTATTTTATCAAATTATGAATACAATTGAACAAAACAAGAAATAAATTAAAACCGAGGTTCAAAACCACCGGTTCTAAAGATATTAATTTTTAAAAATAATTCATCATCTTTTTTTTTGAAGTCAAAATTCATTCCATTAATTTAAAGAGTTCGGGATACAATCAAATGGAGCAAAGTCCCAAGACGAAGAGGAATGTTGACCAAAAGCCTCAGAGGCTAAAATATGAGAGAAATTAAAATGACGAAAAATAAAATCACAAGAACAAAAACCGAAGGATTGCATAAGCGATTTGCACCGAAGAATAGTCAACGCCTCAAAAGATGAACCCACGAACCGATGATTACTGATGAAGCGTATTAAAGTCATGCAATCCGAAAAAACCTGGACTCTTGGAATGGATTTGTCTTTGATCCAAGTTAAAGCTTCCTTGAGAGCCAAAGCCTCGGCCATAAGCGGGTTCAAACAGAAATTGAGTTTACCATTGATAGTCTTCACAAAATTACCGCCCGGTTCATACAAAACGAATCCAAAAGACGCTTCCTTTTGTGTCCGACTTAAAACCACCATAGATGAAACACGTAAATGCATCATATCGTCTTTGCGGAGGTTGTCTGCATCTTCTTTGCTGCATATGATTGAATAATTCATCATCTAATTATAAAAGAATGTGTGACAAACGAGCAACAAGCTACGCCGTAGCCCCCATTTGAATAGCAAACCCAGTCTTACTAAAAATAAAATTGTAGGTCTTAGAGGTCGAGACATACTATGCATGACTCGCTGGACCATGTTAAAGAATTCTACAATCTCACGGGCTAGAGAACCATATGCATTACAAATAAATGAGATAAACACATGTTAATTTTCTAAGCAAGTTTTCTCATGTTTAGTCACTTTACCTGATTTCGCCTTCAAAATTGCTTAGCTAGCAACAACCCCATTATCTCTGAGCTCAACATGAGGGCACACACTGGTAAGGTCCAGACAAATGTGTTTCCTCCCACCCACCAAAACACAAGAATATTGGCTGACCGTAAAGTATATCTTTTTTTAAGCAGATCCGTGTGAAAGCTCGCTGAAACTTCCTTCTTAATCGAAATCTATGCCCGCTTTAGAACATTATATAGTACATTCCTGACAAAACCATGTCTCTATTTAAACATGGTCCAGCAAGTTCGAAACTTTTTTCTTAACCGAAACCTATGCCCACTTTAGAACATTACAGAGTATGTTCCTTACAAAATCATGTTACCAAAAGTATCTAAACAAAATTTGTGGCAACCATGCAAAATACGTAGTAACTGATAGTCCCTATTTAAGAATTGCTGGTACTAGTTTAGTTCAGAATCCGAATTTTATACTCCATCTGTCCCTAAATATTTGCCACACTTGTATTCCCGAGGTAAAATATCAAGTTTTTTCAAATCATTTTATTTACATATTGGTATAGAAAATAAAAAATAAAATTTACATATCAAAAAACTACATGAAAAGTTTTTTGAAATAAGAGGTGTCAAGAATATTTTATTTTATCAAATAACCAATGAAAACGTAGAAATAAACAAAAATTCTCGCGACTGTTGAAAAAGCAAATGTTGTAAATATTTTGGGACGGTGGGGTAGAAGCAATAAAAAACAATGCTCCTTCAAACAATTCTTCCAAAGTCCAAACAAAGCGTTACATTTCTTTCTGGTATAGAAACATGGCAGGAGAGAATTGAATTGAATTCGAAGCAATCTGGAATTGTCAATTACGAATGTCAATGGCAACTTCTTAACTACCCTTGTTTTTGTCTAAAGCATGAGATGGATCTATTTTCTATCAATTGCAGAAAGAATCGGAGATTGGAATCAGTAGCAGAGACAACGAGGATGATGCGATAAGTTTGTTTTCCGCGGCCGAAGAAGAAGAAGAAACCGTCTGCAGCGGAGGCGGGGAAGAAATAGGGTGAGGGGAGATTCACGCGTATCAGATTCATTTATGCTTTCACACAAATCCGTCGTTGTTCCTGTTTCAATCCAGACCTAATCCTCTCTGATTTCAATTCTTGAGCTTCAATGTGATTCAAATCTGATTGGAATTCATTTCCAGCCAAAAAAATGCATAAACCAACGAAAAAAACTACTACGTATTAAATTCACACCTCCATTAAGTTGAACACTAGATAGATGTTGAATGTGATGATCAATAAGGAGCGCATCCCGTTAATCTTTGGTCTCTGGGGTCGAAAAAGGGAGCCATCAGTTATAATATAATGATCCTCTTGTGATTCCTAATCATTATTCAATTTTTTAAATCATGTTTTGATTCGGTCCTGTTTTGTTGCCACATTTCAATTAAAGTTCTGTCTGTTATGGAGAATTAATTCATTGCACTCTTTCCCACCCCTGTTGCTGTTTTGCTTAGATGTTTTCCTAAGGTTCGTGAAAAATGGCGTTTTGATTTTTCTTGACTAATGGTTTGATCTCATAGCATAATGGTGTGATCTTATAACATAATGGTAATTGGAAACTTGGTTGCTGCTGTAAATTTGCTGTAGAGTATTGAAATCCAAAAATTTTATTTAGTCACTACATGAGATCTCACTCGTTGCATTGCAGACTATTTGTTAGTGTAATGAGAGTATTCATAAGTTCTTCCGTTGTTCTGTCACATAGGTTCTGTTTTGCATTGCTTATTCAACAAGATGCCTTTGGCTCAAGACCCTTTCTATATCGTGAAGGAGGATATTCAACAATCTGTAAGTTTGTTTCTATATGTTCTAATCATCATTATTCATTGAATTAAATTCATAGTAACCTTGTACTATAATAAAATCTGTATCCAATAATAATTTAATTGCTTTTCCTATGACACGAATAGAATGAATCCACTTTGAAGAAGCTGCTTAAAATTTCTTTTATTACCGGCTGCAAATCTTGAGTGTCAAAGTGTCTCTTTTGCCAGATTGACAAGCTGTTGTCTACATTTCATCAATGGGAGCGCATTCCCAGTAGTAGTGTAGAGTATCAACGTCTCATTAAGGAGCTTCTTGCTGCATGTGAGAGCGTTTCATGGCAGGTTTGATTACTTTTATGGTGGCATCTTAATGAAAAATCTAAGAAAACTTAAGCGCCATATATGATACTTCCTCCATCTCATGCTAGTGCCCTATTGACCGGGCACACATTCTAAGAAAAGTGAAAACTGTATGGTTGAAATTTATTCAAGAAAATAGAAATAATATGAACCACAGATTGCTTCCCTCAAAAGCAAATAAGTGATTATCTTGGAAAGGAAAGAAAAAGAAAGTGCGGTTTATTGAGGGACGTGAGGAGTACTCCGTATTATTTTTATACACTTTGATCTAACACTTTTGAGAGGTTACTTTCTAGTGTGTCCATGCTAAAAAAATGCTTTTGCAATAGTAAGGTGGATGAATTGGACAAGACAATTGCAGTTGCCTCAAAAGATCCTGCTTGGTATGGTATTAATGAAACGGAGCTTGAAAAAAGAAGAAGATGGACCAGCAGTGCACACAACCAGGTATGAGCTCTGTTTGGTAGAGCTTAATTTATACTTCGTAGCTAAAAAACATTGTAGGTTGAAATAATTGGAGCTTATCTTAAACGATATTATCTACTCCCTCCGTCCCAGAGTATTTATTCACTTTCATTTTTACACACCATCCAATGCACTTCTTAAATCCATTTTATCTTGTAATTTGTATATTAAAAAATTATAGAAATTATATATTAATAATCTATATGTTAAGACAAATCAAACAAGATCACACATGACTATATTTAGGCTTACACATTGAGAGAATTGGATGAGTCAAAGTGCTTAGATGAATAGTTCCAAAAGTCAAAAGTGGACAAAAACTGGGGGACGGAGGGAGTATTTGTTATAGTTTTTCACAAAAAAAGATCAGTGTTTTTTGGCGAGTATTAAGTTATAACCTCGCTGTTTTTAAGATAATACTCCATTTGTTGCTATTTCAAGTACCTAGTTTGACTTATGATTTATTTTTTTACTTACAAGTTTGGCTTTGTGATATCCACTAATATGTGGTTGGGAGTATTTGTTGGTGGTAGGTAGTGATATCAAATGAAGATAGTAAAGTACGGATTTTACTTTTACACAATAAGAAACGATGACATTATTTAGGGAGGGACCAAACACAAAAACATTACGGAGTACTTTTTTAGGGAGGGAGGAAGTACGGTTTATCATTATATGCATTGGTAAGATACACTTTGATTTCATTTTAACGTCTTTAACGTTCAGCTCAATTTAGCTTTCTACTCAACATGCTGAAATATAGCCATATACTGCGACATTGTCTAAATATTATAAGTAGTGAATGAAAGTTTTGATCTCTTTTTCCATTTAGAGTATGTATTGTTTTCTTCCAGATGATCACTCTGATTTTTCATTTATTAGGTGGGGAATGTGAAGAAAGCGGTAGTAGCCGGACAAAATTCATGTGGTTTGAGTGTTATTGAAATGCGAAAAGAGTTGATGGCACAGCCAAATTCTCATCAGGCAGCTAAACTGAACAAGTACACTCCCCCAAATAATGATGATTTTATATCATCTGAATCTGATAGACAGTTACTTCTCATAAAGTAATGTCCTCTTTCCCCATTCTAACTTAATCAGTCTCTTTCTTGCTGCATGCTTAAAAAAACTGAAAATCTTCGAGTAGCTTCAGGACTTCTGCTTCTCTGTCTCTTAAAAAAGTTGAAAATCATACATCCCTAACATTTCAAGCTGATTCCATCCAAAACAAAAGTTGAAAATCGTTTTTAAAAGCACTCACAAATACCCTCTTAGGGTCCTACAGTAACGGCTGAAATGATTGAATCTCTTAAATTTTTTGAAAGGAAAAATATTTTGGCAACATCCATTCCAGCTAGATAAGTAAGTCCAACGGTACGATTATGGCTACTGACGCTTACTAGTTAGGATTAAGGCCACTTTATATGCAGGCAGCAGGATGATGAGCTGGATGAGCTTAGTGCTAGTGTAAGAAGAATTGGCGGTGTTGGGCTGACTATACATGATGAACTTCTTTCACAGGTGAGTTGTCTCATTTTCTTGTATATATCAGTTTGGAGCTTATCTAAGGATTTGTTATAAGATGATAATAAGCTGACATTGAAGTTAATATTTGGCAGGAGAAGCTGATTGATGAACTCGGCGTGGAGATGGGTAGCACATCTACTCGTCTTGACTTTGTTCAGGTATTTCTTTTTTCCCTTGGTGCCATGAAAGTCTATAATGAATTGCTGTCAATTGTCATATGCAGCCATTGTCAAAAAATGACCTTAGTCCATTTTTAGCCTTCATTAAGGGAGGCCAATGCCTATGTTAAGGACATGTCCTACCTATTAATGTCCCTATCAAGTACCAATATACTCAGTAATATAAATTGTCTGTTACCCTTATTTTTAAATGCTGTTTTTCGAAATGAACCTTAAATTGTCCTATTCCCTTTGTTCTTTAACTTTTTTTTCTTTTTCTTTTCAATTTTTTTGTCCCAAATCAGTTGTGTTTACTCTTCCAAGAATGCATTTGTCATATTTTTACCAATTTTGCCCTCTTTTACTCAAATAACACATGGTCAAAGGGTTCAAATATTCTACATTAAAAAAAGGACCTTTTTTTTCATGCAGAAAAGAGTTGCTATGGTAATGAAGAAGGCCAGTGTCAAGGGTCAGATTATGATGATATTGTTCTTGATTGGGTTGTTCTTGTTTTTATTTTTTCTGGTTTTCCTCACCTAGTTGACAGAGACAATAAGCCCAAATGTTTTTTTTTGTAAATTAAACTTTTTTAATACCCAAATGCTCTCATCATTTTGTGTATTTAATTTACTTGTCACCCCAAATAAAGTATCTCACTCACCGGACATAAGGGGTGAGTTTCCCGATGAAGATTTTATGCATGTGACAAGACTCGAACTTGAGACCTCCCTTAAGCGAGTTCAAGGTGCCTGAATTCATTGGGGCAATATGATATGAGTTCTGAAATATCAAATTAGAATTGTTGAAAAGATATACTTCCACTTGGGATGGTTAGCCAGTTAGGATACTGGAGATATTTAATTTGAACTTTGTTTAGGCTTTACCAAACACCCACATGTTAGAATTTTAAGTGTATAAGACTCTGAAAATGTTAAGAATGTGAAAAGTAAATCGACACTCACAAAATAAATACCCCGGGAGAAAAAAATAATTTTTTTAAATACTCCGTATACAAAAACTTATCCTAAATATCACACTAATGAACATACTTGTCTACACTCTAAACCTGGAGGTATTTTTTTCCAAATAATTAAAAATCATTTTCTGATTTCTCTTTACACTCACTCACATAAACTCGTTAATGTCTTATGTAGAAACCTCTCTCTCTTCTTTTGCCATGCATTTTGAGTTTTGACGCCTTCACACACAATATAAAGAAAATGGAATAAGAGAGATCAGATGAGAACTAAACGATAAAAAATCAAATTAGATGAATATTCTAGAATAGGAGTAGCTTAATTTAAAGGACTAAGTAGAATACTTGCTTTTAATCATACTCGAACTAGAATATCTTGGGTAATCCTAATCTTACTCGATAATTAGCCAACTGTTTACACTCATGTGTTTTTCTATTTTATTTTGAAAATGTTAATACTTTTATTTAAAAAATCAAAATTTAGGAGCTGATGAGCAAGTCATCTCTTGCTTTTGTTGTCAAAGTTGCATCTTATAGAGTTATAGTGTTGTCTTTTGATGTCGGCCTCTTGGTAATCAACTATTCGTCAACGCTATTTTTATTATTATAAAAGTTTGACGGGATTAAAAAGATAATCTTACACTCATAATCAAATTCATTAATGAGGCAAACTTCCTCCCTTCCTAAAAAGTTGTCACAGTTTGACTTTTTTTGGTCAAACTGTGGTATTTTAAAATTATGTTTTAAAAGAAATCTAATTTTACTAAATTTACATTATAACTAAATATATTTTTCCATAATTTATGATCAAATAGTGCCACAATTTTTTAGGTACGGAGGAAGTATAATTAAAAAAATCACAACTTTTGATTTGCTGATTTTTAATTTGAAGTCAACACATACTAACCTTTACTCTTTGGTCTCAATTTCCACTATTTCACTTTGACCTTTTTTTAGTCTCATATTCCACTATTTCACCCGTGAGAAAAAAGCAGTTAAAATAGATATTGGAAACTGCCCAATCAATTACTCTCTATATATCTCCAAAAATCTTCTAAAGTACGGAGTATTTATTAATTTTCAGACTTCATTGAGTTTTTATTATTGTTGTTAGACTAAGGACTTAATTTATCTTGATTGGTTCAAATCTGATTCGATTAAGTTCTGATTTAATATAATTATAATTATATTTAAAATTATTTTTGAGCTGATCTAATTCTAATAAGAATAACTATATATTCCGTAGGAATTAAGGAGTAGTAAAGTAATACTCCTTTGTCCCCCTGCATAATATTCATCCAGTTTGACTTTTTCGAGTCAAGCTTGATGAACTTTAATCATCAATTACTCTTAATTTGTATTGCTTATTGATAAAACAATTTAAATATTTAGTTGTCCTCAACAAGATAAATCTATTGAAATGATTTTTATACCAAAATATATTACTATTTTTATTTAATTAAGGTAAAAAAATCGTCCAATTTGACTCGAAAAAGTCAAACCGGACGAATATACTGTGACGGAGTTAATATGCATTAAATAATGCGGTCAAATTAAAGACTCAAAGCTCATTTAATGGAAATTGGGTACTAAATTAATTAATAGGCATTAATTCATATCTTTATTAGGATTTTCTCATTCCCAAAATATATGTATAAAATCCTCTTTGCTAGCTCATGTACAAAACAATCACTTTCACTAGGAAAAAATATTATGTAATAATACTCCCTAATAGTAATAATATAATAATAATAATAGAGAAATCCCAAAATTATGGCTGACTATTTCTCATGTTCAATGCTTCTTCTTATACTAATTCCAATCTTCTCTTCTTTTGTTCCACTCTCCCATTCTACACCTTTCATAATTCTCCATGGTAATGAATTGATATAATAATGCAAATCCTCCCTTTTTAATCTCTCACACATTTTCTTCAATTTTTTTGTAACAAAATACACAAAAACATACGTACGCATACACGTACTCATGCAATATTCCATTCATCTCAAAATATTTGTCCAACAGATCGAACATTATTAGTTGTGAATTTTGTTAAAGTTGTTTTGCGTATGTAAAATACGTAGTTCAAAAAGTCACCACGTTTAACATATGTACATTCCGAGGTACGATATAATTTGTAATATTACGGTTCGAAAGCAAATGGTACGGCGATGGTATTGAGTGTGAGGGTATTCCGGTGATTTTCTTTTATAAAATGAAAAGTTTTTTTTGGAAAGAATGTAATTAAATAACATACGTCGTGTCTAAATATTGTGCCAATTAAATAAACATGTCACATATATATATATATATATATATATATATATATATATATATATATATATATATATATATATATATATATATATATATATATATATATATATATATATATATATATATATATATATAGACGATAATCATATACAAAAATGTGTATATATATTATATATGATAGGCGTGGGAATGCAATGCAGTGATCCAGGAAGCATTTTCTATGTGAGTATGCTTAGCATTTTGTCTGGGGTTCAAGGATCTTGCGTGTAAGTTTAATTCTTTTATTTTTTCAATTTTTTTTAAATCCCTCTTCATTCCATCATTTGATTTTAAGTTTTAATTAATCTAATTAAATATATTGGTCATATACAATTATTTATTAGGGAAATTGGATTTGGTGCTTCTGATTCCTGGACCATGCCTTTAGACCAGCAAGTAAGTGAATAAATGCCAATATTTTTGTTAAAAAATGAGATTTTTTTTGTTATTGTGTAGTTGTGTACAAGAGTTGATAATTTTTTTAATTTAATTATTTGAGTGTAATAATAATAATAGTGTTTTTCACTTGCTACATCATTGTAGGTTGAAATTGCTTGTGCTAAGGTACACCATATGATGAATGCCCCCCCCCACAAGTTTTGCATTTAATTTCTTTAATTTCTCATTATTGATTTTTTTTTATTTTTTATTTTTTGGAAATTTCACAGGTTAGAGAAACAAGGTTACAATCTAGTTGGTCTCTCCCAGGTAAAATATAATTACACGTACCTTTCAAAAAATTACTATGTAACGTAATAGTTTCTTATTATTTTCCTTTCTTAAATTTCACGCCTCCTTTTTTCCCCTATAAACGAATGAAATATGTTTTTCTTAATTTTTCTATCTCCTCTAAATAAATTCGGCGACACTTTATATTTTCAACAATATTCTCAAATCCGTGAATATGGACATTGTCGTGGTGGTTTTAATTTTGTCCATTTTTTTCACCAGGGAAACATAATAGGCCGAGGCATGATTGAATTATGCGACAATTTACCTCCGGTAAGAATGTACAACATATCATTCAGACGCGTTATTAGAGTATTATGTACTCGATTGTAAATAATATGAATTCAAAAGTGACGGATTTTGGACGTTGTTTGTAGTGCGACCATAATGGAAAATCGAGTGCGCGTTTTTTAATTGAGTATAATGGAAAATATTGAGTATTTAATAAAGTTTTTTTTGTTGGGTGCAAAAAATAAAACAGGTCAAGAATTTCATCTCAATAGCTGGGCCTAATGCTGGAGTTTCTTCACTTCCTCTTTGCACCGTAAGCTTTAATTGCACTTAATTACATATACATACAAGTTATATAAATACGGAGTACAATACTTATTGTATAATTAAACAAATTAATTAAAGTAAGCACATTCAGAAATATGACAAATGTATAATTCGGCCTTAATAATGTCTCACTTTAATAATTTGCAGGTTGGGCCTTGGTGTGGTGCTTTGAGTTACTTGTATAAAATGGGAGTCTACTCCGGACTTGTTCAAGTATAATTTTTTTTACATTCTTAATAATAATAAGAGTAAAAAATTATGAAATTATCAAAATAGGAGTTCTAAGTTTTTTAAGATTAAAATAAGAGTGATCACACTGGCATATAAAATTGTTATCACTTTTCCATCACAATCTCAATACATATACTTACATCACTCTGTCATTATACTCATTTTTTGTCTTAAAGGATTTATGACTCCAATTTTGATATTTTAATTACCTTTTTACTTCTATCCAAGGAGATTTCTTAATAATGAAATGATAAAGTTTTGATTTGAACTGAAATTATCAATTCAAATTTGATCTTTTAATGTACATATATGATACGGAGTATTACTTAAATTGTACTGGGTATCATTTTCAAATCGTAATGTTTGATGATAATTGATAATGGCTTCTTTAATTTCTTGAATATATTGCAGGACCGCTTGGCTCCGAGTGGTTATGTTAGGCTTGCAAATGTAAGCAAGTATATTTTCGAGAACAGTCAAACTAAATTTTAAGCTTAAAAATATAAAGTAACTCATTTCGAGAGTACTAAATTAAAAAAAAAAACACACACACACAATTCGTATCATTAATTATATTCGTGGAAATTTATTTATTTTTTGTTGAAAAACAATAATCATAGGATATTCCGGGGTACTTGGAAGGATGCAAGTTTTTGCCAAAGATAAACAATGAAATCCCAAGCTCAAACAATACCCTCCACAAGCAGAGATTCAGCAGCTTGCAAAATCTTGTCCTCATCATGGTTTAATTTGTGCCTCATACAACTTTATTATAAGTCTAAGAAATATTTTTATGCTCTGACAATTATATTCAAATGGTCTGCATTAAGTTTTCGAATAACTTGCAGTTCG